CGCGGCGTCGCCGGCCGCGGTACCGGAACCTGGGCGGGCAGCGGCGCCGAGCTCCCCGGCCGCGCAAGACTCGAGCGTGCCCGCGCAGGAAGGCGCGCCCCCGTCGGAAGGCGCCTTGTTGCGACACCCGGGGGCAGGCGGCGCCGGAGACAGTCGGATTCCCTGAATGGAAGGACCCGGTGCGCGCGGGGCTCCACTCCCCCCACGGGACCTTGCGGGGTCCCCTAAAATGGCCCAGCGGCGCAGGGAGGTGTGCGCATTTGAGGAGGAACCGTCACCTTGCATGGTTTTCCGGGCCTCAGGGCCATGGTTTCCTCGCACCGGTCCGCCCGGGACTTCTTTCTCCCCTGCGGACCCCGGGCTGTCGAGGGGGCCGGGTGGCGGCGGGCTGCGTCCCAGCTCCGCCGCGCTCAGCCCCCGTTGCCTTGCAGTGCGCAGCCCGCGATGACTGGCGCTGTGCGCGCTCCATGCACGAGTTCTCAGCCAAGGACATCGATGGGCACATGGTTTCCCTGGACAAGTACCGGTGGGTACCTGCCCGGCCTGCCCGGTGCGGGGTCTGAGCCTTGGGAGGGGAGGCCCTGGCCTGCCTGACAACCGCCGACCCCTTTCCAGGGGTTTCGTGTGCATCGTCACCAACGTAGCCTCGCAATGAGGCAAAACCGATGTAAACTATACTCAGCTTGTCGACCTGCACGCCCGATATGCTGAGTGCGGTTTACGGATCCTGGCCTTCCCCTGCAACCAGTTCGGGAAGCAGGTGCGTGGCCGCCCCGTGTCCCCGGGCCCCGACCCCGCAGAAGCTGGGATGGAGACGAGACAAGGGGAGACAGCGTGTTGGGGGGGGCACCGGGACTGGGCGGTGTCCAGGTCCCCTGCCCGCTCACCAGGATGCCTCGGGTTGCCGCAGGAGCCAGGGAGTAACGCCGAGATCAAAGACTTCGCCGCCGGCTACAATGTCAAGTTCGATATGTACAGCAAGATCTGCGTGAACGGGGATGACGCACACCCACTGTGGAAGTGGATGAAGATCCAGCCCAAGGGGAAGGGCATGCTGGGAAAGTGCGTGGCCCTGGGGGCGGGGGCTGCCCGGCCGAGGGGGGGGCTGCCGCGGCTTCCCTCATGTCCTTGTGCTTATTTTACAGTGCCATCAAGTGGAACTTCACCAAGGTAAGGGGCTGTGGGAAGGTGGGAGAAGAGCTGGGGCCAGGGCCACGTCCAGGGAAGTGCCCCTCCTGCTGCCCCACCCCCCCCATGGTGGCCTGCCCGTCTCTCCCTGACAGTTCCTCATTGACAAGAACGGCTGCGTGGTGAAGCGGTACGGCCCCATGGAGGAGCCCCTGGTAGGTACCTCTTAGGTGGGGGTGGGGTGGGGACAGGGGAAGAGGCCACTCTTGACCCACCTCTTGCCCCACAGGTAATAGAGAAGGACCTGCCCTGCTATTTCTAGTTCCACAAGCGTGTGCCCCCTGCCCGAGCTTCCCGTCTGTGGCCCCCTCTCCCCCTGGAACCTTCCACCCGGCACCATGACAGTCTGTCTGCAAACCAGCCTGCTGGTGGGGCAGACCCGAGAACCTGGCGTGCACCCCCTGCCGGAGGAAGGTCCCGCGGCCCAGCTCACTGGGGCTCGGTGCTCCCCCCACCCCTGGCTACCTTGTGGGAATAAAACATACAGATTGGTCTGCTGTGTTCGCCTGCCTGCAGGGGTGGCGAGGCGGGCTGGGGGCTGTTTGTCCTGGTTCAGGGCCCGTACATGTGTGGTGTTAGCTCCCCAGGCTGGGGTAGGATGGGGGGGGTGGAACTCACTCCACTTGGGGTTCAGAGAGCTGTGCCTGCCCCTGCGTGCTGGGCTGCAGCTCCAATCTGGGCCAGCTGGGCACGGGGCTTAGCTCCTACCCTCTCAGCCCCGCCTCCTGGGCTTGGACAGAGCCTGGCCATGGGCCGGGCTTTTCCTAGAGAAGATAATTCTCCTAAGTCAGTGCTCTTCCTGGCCCAGGGCCTTAACTGAGCAAGCAGCTCTTGCAAGCCTGCAGCGGCCATGAGTGGGAGGGGCTGGGGCGGGCTCACCAGCCAGTCTGGTCTGGTGGAGTGGACACAGATCAGGGTGCCCGTAAGGCAGAGGCCCCCCTCAGATTTCCAGTACACCCAGGGTGTTCCAGAAGCTGGAGGTGGGGGTGGGGGTACTGCAGGGTAGAAGGAAGGGGCTTGGGAGGCCTATGGCCTTCCCCAACTGGCAGCATCCAGGTAATGGGTCCTAGAGCCCACCCCAGTGGCCTTCAGCTGCTTTGCTGGGGATTCCTGCCTACTTTCCCCCTCCCAGGCTTCCCACCTTGTGGCCTTGGACTGAAGTGTCCCTCACAAGTTCTGCCTGAGGCCTGGTGCTCCCCACTGCTTCCGGGAGAAAGTGGCTGGCCTTGGCCTTCCAGACCTAGCCCTCGAGGTCCTGGGCTGTCCCTCCTGCAGGAACCAACACCCCTGAGGAAACCCTGGGAGGAAACTGAGGCACAGAGGCCCAGTCCTGAAGCAGAGGCTCCACAGATGGGGTTCCAGACTGCCACCATGAAAGTCCTGGTTCTGGGTCCTAGGTCCTGGCACGGACCATCCGGAGGCAGCTGTCCCTAGATGCTGGGGTGGGCAGTCACCAGCACAGGAGTGGGAATGGACACTGGAGTGTGCAGCTTTCTGCCCCCAGCTGCTCAACAGGTGGCAGCCACCACCTCTGCCACCCTCACGTACCCCATGTGGCCTTGGGCAGCTGCCCCCTAAATGCCCCTCCTGAAGGGTCACAGCATGCAGCCCTGCCCTTCTTCCCCCGCCCCCACAGGTCACAAGAGCAGACAGTGTGGGAAGTAGGCAAAAGGCACATATATTTAAAAAAAGATCTCTTTACATATATACATTAAAACTCATTATAAATACATAGAAACCAGGAGGCCGCCAGCTCGGCAGCAAGACTGGGGGGGAGGCAATAATTTAGGGAGGAGGCAGGGGAGGAAAAATTGCATATATTAACGGGGGGTTTGCCCCACAGAGCCCCCAAGAAGGCGTGGGGGGGCCCTGAGCACCTGGGGTTTCCTGAGTTTCCAGCTCTTGGGACCACCCAGTTTCACGGATTTTCAGGGGTTGGGGCCTGGGAAGCCCTTGTGAGGTGGGTGGGGTAGAGCCGGGGGGCCCCCAGCCCAGAGCCCCTGCCCATGCCTGGAGGGGGAGGAAGAGGAGAGAGGCCAGAGGGGGCCCGCCCCAGCCCCCTGGCCCCGGGTACTACTGAGCAGAGCCTGCACGAAGCGCTGCTCTGCCAGGCCGGGTATCGTTGAGGTCCCCCAGGCCAACAGCAGCCACGAGGTGGCTTGGGCAAGGCACTGCAGTCGAGGCCTGGGGGTGCCTCTCAGTAGTCGGCAGGGGACCTCGCCCTGCTCGCCACCCACTTCCTAGGAGAGAAACTCCGTGTACCAAGGGCGCACGGTCGGCGCCCAGGTGCAGGGGACCTAGGAGTTGGGGAAGGGCGGGCTGAACTGGATGACGCTCTGCCGCTCAGGACCCCCGCCTCCCGCCGCACTCGCCCCTGCCCCCGCGACGCCCCCCAGGGCGGGCTCGGCTGACCCCGCATGCAGCGAGCGCAGCATGTCCTCCAGCACCTCCTTGAAGTTGATGTCGCAGCCCTGGTGCGCGAGTGCCACAGGGTCAGTGGGGGTGTCTGGGGCGCCCAGCAGCAGCCCACCAGGGCCGGGGTCCAGGGGTGGCGGTGGCGGCGGGAAGGTGAAGCGCGCAGGCAGCGGGAAGGCCTCGGCGGGCGGGCTGTAGGTGAGGTCCAGGACCTCGCCGGGGCCACAAGGCAGCGCGAGTGCACGCGGGGTGGGCGCAGGGCAGCCCAGGCCGCAGCTCAAGCCGAGTGCCTTCCTCCGCTTGACGTCAGCGTCCATCAGCTGCAGCTCCTGCAGCACGCGCCGCACACAGCCCTCGGGAATCTTGATGCCCACTTGCTTCTTCTGGTCCTTGGTCTTAAGGCGCACAATCTGCAGGTAGCTGCTGCTGCTGACGTCGGCCACGACAGCGGCCACGCGGCCCCACACGCGCAGCAGTGCGCCGCACAGCACATAGTGGTGCCGCAGCCGCAGGCCCTGCACGCAGTCTTTGCCCTCCTGCACCAGCCGGCAGTGCCGGTTCCTGTGGGACGACAGGCACCAGACGGGTGGCTCAGGAAGCGCCTCGCTGGCTGCCGCCCCCATGCTCCCGGGCCCCGATGCCCAAGGGGACCCGCCCTCCACCTGCCCTCACCACGCCGTGTGGCTGCAATGTGTCAGCGAGAAGGCGTAGCTGCTCTCCCAGTGCTCCTTGGCCTCCTCTGCAGTGACCTGAGGACATGCATGTGAGCCTCAGCCGGGGCACCAGGGCCTGCAGCTGCCATCCAGCCTGGACAGTGCACAGGCGAGAAACCAAGGCAGGAGCACCCCAAGGCCTGAGGCCCGTAGCCCCTCGCGCCTGCCAGGTGACCTAGGCACTGAGGGCAGGACTGGGGACTGCAGGAGTCCCACAGGGAGGGGAGGCTGAGGCACAGAACCTGGGGCATCCCGTCCTGGGAGACCAGCCCCATCCCTGTCCCTACCCTGTGGAACTTGCGGCGTAGAGTGTCCAAGGTCTCCAGTTGGCTCTGTCGGCCAATGTTGGGCTTGCACACAGTGAAGTGCTTGCCACGGTTCTGTTCCACCAAAAGGCAGCTTGGCTTGTTACCCCGTACCTGGGGATGGGAGAGGGTGAGGCCAGGCACCCACCATGTGTCCCTCGTGGAGAGTGGGTGACCCAGGGACAGGACAAGCCAATGGTAACCAGCACTTTCCCCACCCCCTCTGGTCCTGGGAGCTGGGCAGGTATGGGGTGCAGGCAGCTGCCCACCTTGTAGGACAGGTAGAAGCCATCGTAGGGGCCTGTCAGCTCTAGTGACTTGGCAAACGCCTTCTCCCACTTCAGGCCACGATCCACACTGATCTGCCAGAGCATGGGGGGCATTAGCAGAGTGGGGTAGGGTGGGTTGTGGGCTAGGGGCAGTGGCTGGGGGCCTTCTTGCTTACCTTGTAGAAGACCACCTGCCCATCCTGTGGGTGTCCGGGGGCCAGGAACACCTGCTGGCTTTCCTCGTAGATCTCGTCAATTCCTGGAGCCAGGTCTGGGGAGATGTGGGGTGGTGAGCAGTGTCGGGTCTGGGAACCTTGAGGAGCTGGCTCCTTGCCCCATGAGTCTAACAGAGGCGCCAGAGGCCTGCTGGCCTGGATGTAGCTTGGCCAGTTCCATTTCTGAGCTTTGGGGGGCTGCTAATCCCATGGTGGCATGACCCAAGCTTGACCGGACCCAGCACCGAGGACAGAGAGTGACCCCTTTAGTCTGGGAGCTGCTCATGTCATGAGTGACCCTGAGCGAGTCACAGACAATGTGCACCTCAGTGCTCTGAATGGCTGTTATGGGGATCATGCAAGCAGGGGATTGGCAAACTACACCCACCAGTGCCACTGTTTTTATAAATAAAGTTTTGTTGACATACAGACTGCTTGTTTGTACTCTGTGTTTTTTTGGCGGGGGGGGCAGTTGGACGGTACAGGGATCCAAACCCTGGACCTTGATCTTGGTGCTTTTGTGCAGTGGTCATGAGAAAGACTCTCTGGCCCTTGACAGAAAGGCTTGCCCACCACTGGTTGACAACGTAACATGTGCTTCATGAGGGCCTGGGTGAGTGGGGGGACATCATTCACTGGGTTCCTTTAGGATGAACATCGAGATCACGCTGGGCTCAATGTGTATCTGCGGGCACTGCCTAAGCGCTTCCATCTGATCCACAGCCCCGGGGCCCTCCCTGTAAGTGGCCTGCGGGCTCACCCAAGATGCCCATGTCGTATTTCCCCTCCTTCTTGTCCACCTCAATGAGGTGGTCGAACGTGTCCGAAAAGTACTGGAACAGCGCGTTCTGCTTCTGCACCTCCAGCCCCAGGATGCGGTTGAGGAACTTGCTGATGGAGCAGTCTGTGTGGAAGGGGTGGTGCTCAGGCTGTGTGGGAGCCCCAGGCCGCCCCTGCCCAGGGCCTGCATGGCCCCGCCAGAGGGATCTGTGCCGGGCACTGCACGGAGGACTCACCCTTGTCCACGTCCAGGCAGCCAGACCGGGACTCCCGCCCGCCGATGCCAACCGACAGCAGGCCGTGCTTCATGTCTGAAGTGGGGGAAGTGGGGGCCTCGCAGGTGGTTCCTCAGACTCCCCACCCCTTCCTCTGGGCCCCTGGCTCCTGCCCCAGCAGCCCTGACTGCCCGGTAGCAGGAACCTCCACATGTGGGGCTCACTCTTCCTTTTTCTCCTTTGTTCTGTCTTTGGGGGGCTCTCTCCGCTTCCCTGTGCCCTCAAGGCCTCATCTGTGAGCATGTGGGGAGGGGTCTTTCCACACAAACCAGTCTACAAATCCCGGGCCCCCAAACTGCTCTGGAACCTGCTGATCTCCCACCTTGCCCTCCCAGAAAGACCCTCACGGGACCCCCAGCTCACCCCGGAAGAAGGCGGTGACCCCTCCTGGGTAGCCCTGCGGCGGGGGCATCTTGTTCTCCGTCTGGCTCAGGATGGTGGTGAGGACACAGTGCAGGGCCCGGATGCCGTACTGGGGGGCGAGGCGAGCGACGGGGGTGAGGGTGGAGGAGATCTGGGGAGGAGGCCGGCCTCCCCAGTCCCTGGCCTCCCCACGGTACCTTGTTCTCGAAGTTGTACTTGCTCAGGTCACGGGATTCGGTGGCGCGGCGGTCTCCATGGGTCAGGGCGCCCTGCCGGGGCGGAGCAGACTGTCAGCGCGTGGGGAGCCTTCCCAGCCCCAGCCCCGGCCCCGGCTGCTCACCAGGCTCTCCAGGCGCTTGGCCACGATGGAGGCGAAGCGCCGCTCCCCGGCCAGCTCCGAGATAAGGAAGACGTACTCGGGCGCCGATACCTGGTTGGAGCGGTGAGTGCGTCCTGGACGAAGGCAGAGGCGGCTCTCAGGGACGGCTGCGGGGCGTGGCTGGGGTCGGGGGCGTGCCCAGTGGGCGGGGCGGGGCCGGCTCTCACCGAACTGCTGGATGGCGCGGTCGGCGCTCCAGGGCAGCTCCAGCGTCATGTGCACGCGGCGCCGCTGGTTCTGCACCCGTCGGTCAGCTTGGAGGGAGACGCCTGAGCTGGAGGCCTCCGAGATGATGGCTACGAGCTGGGGGATGCGGGCAGGTTGTTGTGCTGCCTGCCACTCACGCGGCCCAGCCCCAAGCTCCAGTCAGCAGGACCACTTCCACCCAAGGACTTCCAGGGGCGACAAGGAAGCCATAGAGGTCTGAGAGCCCCACAGTTGCAGCCACGCACGTGCACGTGACTGCACACACGCAGATGTGATGCACTTGTGCACATACGTGTCTATGCACACACACGCCTGTGCACACAGGCACACAGACAAGTGGGGGCCTGGGGTCTTCTGTGGCCCCCCGGGGCCGGCAGGGTCCCTCCCCCTGCACACGTACAGCACGTGCCTGCCGCCCCCCACCTTCTCGCCGCTCATGAAGCGCTGCTTCTCCCTGAGGTTCACGTTGTCAATGGACAGGCCCTGCTCCGCCCGTGACTCAAAGGCCACCGTCCCATCAGGCCTGGACACAACCCGGCCTTTCCTCCCAGTCATCTGTGGCCAGAGCAGAGAACCAGGGTACATATGTCAGTGGAGCAGCTGCCTAGGGGCCTGGCCTGTGGGCCTCAGTTTCCCCATCTCCCCATGAGTAGGGGAAGGACAGGGAGCTTGCCAAACCCGGGGCCAGGACTCGACTCTGGCTCAGTCTTGGGCTGCCCCACAGGGATATGTGTTACCTTCACAGTCTTTTAATACTTTTGGTGCCAAAATGGATCCAAAGGGGCGGAGAAGGGGTGGCTGGGTGGGCCAGGCCCTGGACACCCCAAGCATGTACACAGGTGACTGGCAGGGGTGTGCTCACCTCGGCCACCCGCTCAGGACCCCCGAGCTGGTCAATGAGCTCATCCAGGGTGTTGACTGGCAGTTCCTGGCCCAGTGCCCGCACCTTGGTCAGCAGGTCCTGCTTCAGCCGCTCAACCCGCTCCAGGACACCAGGACCCTGCAGGTCCCTCTGCGGGGGGAACAGGGGACCTGCGGGGGGTGGAAGGTCAGGCTGGGACTGTCTAGCTCTGTCTCTGACCAGTGGTGTAACTCTGACCTCCCTTTTCCCAGCCTCAGTCTCCCCACCTGTAAAGTGGGTGTAAAGGCAGCATCTACCCTTCAGGGTCACCCGGGCACACCCTCACCTCGGTCATCTGGGGGGAGCCCGATGGTGTCCACAATAACCACGTCATCGTCCACCAGGGACTCAGGAGAGGAGTTGAAGTCGCTGTCCAGACCAGCATCTGACTCAGTGCTGCTGTCGTCGCTGATGCGGATCACACCTGCTGCCTCGCACACCAGCCTGGGGACTTTGCCCCCGCGGCCCCGTGGCCGCCCTGTTGGGGGGGTCAGGGGTCACCACAGGCTGGACCACGGGAGGAGCAGGCCAAGCTGAGGTGGTTGGACAGAGAGAGAAGTTGATGCGCCCTAAGCTCATGACAACTCCCTGACTGAGAAAGAGTCTCTGGGGAGACCCTGTCCCTCACCTGGCGCCCTCTGCTTGTGTGGTGGGCGCCTCTGGGCCAGCAGCTTTTGGCTGTGATCTGGGTTTTCCTCTTGGAATCCCTATGCCCCCACTGCCCACGAGGGCGAGGTAGGTGTACAGGCCGGTTATAACATCTACACCCAACATCCTCCCATGCCTAATGGGGCAGTATATGCTGGGGGGGTCTCCTGAGAGATTGCACTAGGGGCCTTCCTGACACCATTGGCCTAGTGGGGATGCTGATGGCTGGCTTGACCTGAGGATGTGCCCAGGCCCCCTATAGGAGCCAGTGGTCCAGGGGCCACATATGACGCTGCTGCTATCCAGGCCACCCTGAAGGAGGGTGGGTCCTGGCTCTGCCCCTCACATCTGACTGTGTGACTTCGATTGAGGTACTTGGCCTCTCTGAGCCTCAACAACCTGGCAACACCAGGCTTTTTTTGCTCTCCGCAGCTGAGGAGGGGTTTCTGGGCCCTGCCTGGTGGGGTGTCTCCCTGCCTGCTTGGCAGCCTGTGCTCCTGCGCCTGTGCTCCTGCACCCCCTGCGCCTGTGGTCCTGCAGGTGCCCCTGCCTGCAGGCTGTCTGGGGTGCTACTCTCCGTGAGCACCTGCTCCTCTGCAGGTGGATCCTGGGTGGGGTGGGGTAGAGTCCGTGTGTAGAACCTCCCACTGGCAGCGGAGCCGGGGGCCTGGCTCTGGAGGGAGGAGCTGGGGGGGCAGAGGGAGTGGGAGCAGGCGGCAGCAGCGGCGGGGGCGGCGCTTACGTTTTCTCTTACTGCTCACTCCTCTGTCCCGCTTCCTTTTGGTTGAAGGAAAGTGCTTCTGAATTAGTGACAGAAAGACGCCTCTGAAAGTAAGAGCAGAGTTCATTCTCCTGCGAGGACGGCTGTGCCACTGGCCGGTGGGGGCTTGTGGGGGCGGCCTGTGTGTAGGTTTGCTCTTGGGGGAAGCAGGAACCAAAGCACCAGGGTCTTGCGTGGGTCTGAGGGACCCCTCGGCTTCTCCAGGACAGGGCTGGGCCTTGTGTCAGGGACTCAGGGAGGCAGACCCCAAGGGGGTAGTGAAAGCCAGGACAGAGGGCTGGTCCTGCCCGGCAGGATGTAGCTTGTGGCCCATGGGGCATGCAGCTTTGATGTAGTGGGCAGAGGGGAGCAGGGGACAGGGGAGGGGTCCCGCTGTCAAAGGGCCATGGGTGGGTCTGCCTGCATGCTGACTGCCTCTAAGGGATGAGGGTGGCCAGATGCTCCCAGGATTGGGATGGGTGGAATGGGGTGAAGGAGGTGCTGGAGGGCTTCCTGGCAAAAGCAAGGGACAGATGCCCAACACTGGGGGAGACCTGTCCCCTGGACTGTGAGGAGGAACCAGGAAGGGGCTGTGAAGCCATAGGCAGGAGGGCTTCTGGGAACCCCCCAGGGTGGGCTGGGGGCACTCTCAACCATAGGAAGAGACCAGGGCCGCCAGGTAACCATGAGGGCCAGTCTCTAAAATCTGCAAAGTCCTCATAGAAAGGGCACGGCACCAGGCAGGGACAGGCGGACAAAGCTTCTCTCTGAGACCCTGGGAAACCACCCACTGGCTTCTCTTCACCAGACCAGGCCAGGCCTGGGGTTGGGGTGTGAGCCAAGCCTGCCCAGCTCGCCCCGCCCCATCTGCTGGGGACCCAGGGGCAGGGCCAGGCCACAGGAAGCCCCTGCTGCCCCCAACTCACTCGGCGGCCGAGACAAAGCAGTCCAGGTGCCCGTCGTTCTCGCCCAGCACCTCCCGTGTCCGTGCCTCACCTGTGGACTGCAGCCCGATGACCACGCACTGTGGGGATGGGGCAGGGGGCTGTAAGCGGCTCTGGGACCCCCCACCCACCAGCCCTGCACCAGGGCCCCGGGGAAATGAACCTTCTGGGCCTCGGGGTGATGGCTGTTCCCACCCTCTGTTCTCATCTCCCCAAGAAGGGCCCTGAGCCCAGTGGGGTCTGACCTGCCCAGGCAGCATCCCAGGGGTGCTGGATCCCAGGAAGATGTGGGCAGAATGGTGCCTCCATGGCGGGGTGACCAGGAAAGACAGTGGTTGCCCCCACCCAGGCCTCACCTTGCCACGGGCCAGCTCCTCGCGGGCCAGCTCCACCAGCCGGTGTACCTTGGCAGCAATGCACAGGTACTTGAAGAAGCGCTGGTGAGCTGACCAGAACTGGCCCCACAAGGACTTGCGTGACTCCAGGCCGATCCAGTCGGCTGCCTGCTGGAACATGCCCAGGGCCTCGGCCCACTGCAAGACAGAGCCCTGGTGCTGAGCACGCGGCTGGCCCAGCTGGCCCAGCTGCCCCCCAGCCAACCCTGGGCAGAGCATCCCTAAGCCAGGTGGAATTGGGGGCAGGGTGGTAAGAGTCACTGGCTGCACCTAAACGGTAAAAATGCTAAAAAACCAAAACAGGCAGTGCTGGCAAAGCTGGGGTGACGGTGGCTCAGGCGACACCTGGGTGCAGCGTGAGCCCTGCAGGAGTGGCCATCCACTCTCAACACTTTAGACCAGGGTCTCACGCCCAGGGGACACTCGGCATGACAGGGAGTGCTCCTGACACGGAGTGGGTGGAGACCAGGGACGCTGCTCAGCACCTGCAGTGCCCAAGACGGCCCCACCACAGAGAAGGATTCAACCCCAGTATCCACAGTGCCGAGAGAAGAACCTGGTTTAGTTTAACCTAAAGAGACCATCTGGCATGCAAGCCAGGATGGTGCTCAAAGGCTTATCAGGTGCAAGGTGAGAACACAGGAACCTGTCCAAACACGGAAGGGACACACACAGCCATGTGGACGCTGAACATGGCTATGAGCTCCAGGAACCCAGGGGAGGGCAGGCAGGGCTCTGGCCATGGGCCCATGTTATCACAGTCACGTAAAACCCCCCAATTAGGACAGAATCAAGATGCTGGGCTCCTGCCTAAAATCACAGCGGAGGGAGCATTCTGTAATTTGACACATGCCTGTGGTGTCTTTAAGGACAGGACACTGGTTGGCAACAGTGGCACAATTCTGAGTGACTGGGGGGCATGTACAAGGGGTCCACGCAGTTGGAGCTCCTGGCCACTCTGTCCCTGCCATTCCCACCCCCAGACGCCCCAGCTCACCAGCAGGGCTGCACGGTTGTAGACACACTCAAAGGCCGGGGTCAATGGAATCTCCTCGATGCGGAAGGTGACACCAGAGAAGCTGAGCTGGCGTGCAATGTACATACCACTGACCTTCATGTCCATGGCCACAATCTCCATGGCGCCCACTCCCCTGCAAGGACACAGGCCACCTGAACACCACCGAGGGGCTGACCCCGGAGGGTGAGTCAGAGCCAGGCACGTGGACTGCAAAGATGGCATGTGCAAACGCTCTGTGGCCACCCACGAGGAACAAACTGCAGGCAGACTTGAGCGGGAGGCAGGAATGGCCACCCAGAGCCTGGGGGCCTGGTGGGGAGGGAGCTTGTTCCCTTAAAAGCCACAGAAAGTGACAGACAATGGGCCGGCCTGTGGCTCACTCGGGAGAGTGCGGTGCTGATAACACCAAGGCCATGGGTTCGGATCCCATATAGGGATGGCCGGTTTGCTCACTGGGTGAGTGTGGTGCTGACAACACCAAGCCAAGGGTTAAGATCCCCTTACCGGTCATCTTTAAAAAAAAAAAGAAAGTGACAGGCAAGGAAAGGATGTGATCTGTCTTTTAAGATCCCTATGGGTGCAGGTGGAGCGGTCACACCTGATGCCAGGCCTTGGGTGCAGCGGGCAGGGAAGGGCGCTCACCTCTTCTCAATGGCGTGCAGGAACTCATCGAAGGTCCGGAAGGGTGTGCCCTCACCCCAGATGCCCAGACGGCTCATGTAGATCATGTTCCGAGGCTCAGAGGCACCTGGGGCAGGTGTAGGAGGCATCGTCAACTCCCCTGGCCAGCCAGGAGGCGGCAGCTGTGCCTGTGAGGCCAGGTGGGGCCCCAGGAATGGACCAAGGGCCAGGTAAGAGGGCCTGAAGCTCTGCAATGTCCCCAGGCCAGATGGCAAAGGTGAGCTCCATCCCTGGGCTGGGCTGCAAGAGACTAGAGCAGGCACCATCAAGCCCCTGCCCCCAGCTGCAGCCCCCACCTGTGGCGCTGGCGTAGACCACCCGGGCTCGGGGCAGCTTGTTCTGAAGGTCCAGCACGGCCTTGCCCATCTTGGTGGAGCTGGCGTTCTTGGCTTTGTGGCATTCGTCAAACACAATCTGGGGCGGCCAGGATTAAGGAATGTTCTGGAAGGATGGCAGGCAACCCCAGGGTCCCAGGCCCTGACCTCCCAAATCCACACTTTCCTGGCTCAGGGCAAATGCCCTTAATTTAAGCGCTCAAACTCCAAAAGCCATGCAGGTGGTGCACTCAGGGTATGAGACCCCCATACTATGGCTAGATGTACTATGCCCAGGACAGCTCATATAAAGTAGACTGTGTCAATACACAGGTGCAAGAGTATACAGAGAAAAGGGGGCCATTCATGGGGGGTGGGCTGCATCCACTCAGGGGTGCTCTGACTGCCCTAGAGTTTGCAGGACGTTGCCATCGGGGAGGTGGGTCAAGGGTACTGGGCGCCTCTCTTCTGTTTCGTACAAGTTACATGTGAGTGTACAGTGATCCTGTGTAGAAAATAATACTGAAGAAAAGATGTGAAGGTGCTCTCAATACGTTAAGGAGAGGGCTGGCCAGTTAGCTGGTTAGAGCGCAGCCTTACAACACCAAGGTCATGGGTTTGGATCCCCATACCAGCCAGCCACCAAAAAAAAAACATTAAGGAGAAAAAAGCAAGTTAAAGAAAAGCAGGGCTGGCCGGTTGGCTCAGCTGGTAGGAGTGAGATGTCATAACACCAAGGTCATGGGTTTCAGATCCCAGTACTGCCAGCTGCCAAAAAAGAAAACAGAAAAGAAAAGCATACCAGATAAAGGGTTGACAGAGGAAAAACAGGCACACACAAGGTAAGCCCCTGTGTTAGGTGCCCAGCACACAGCTTGTCGAGAGTATGACACTGACATTACTTCCTGCACGAGGTGGACATAGGGATGTGCTATCTGGGCACCCTGGGTGCACCTGTATCCTGCGGTTTCTTCCTCTGGCAGGCCTGGATTGTCCTGTACTTAAGTGTTTCACTGAACAAGCCAAGCTGTGACCATGTCCTCATGTGCACAGACACAGCAGGCCAGTGGCCCTCATCTGTTCTGCGGACAGGGTGCAAGGAAACTTCTGGGACAGTGCCAGGACTAGACGTCCAGCTTGGATCCAGCCTCAGGCATCGGTCACCCCACTTCAACAGCGAGCACTGACGACAGGGCTGTTTATATCACTGAGAGGCTGGAAACCACCAGAATGTCCCCCCCATAGGGAAACCGCTGAATCGGGCATGACACGCAGGAACAGGAAGAAAAGGGGACGTGGGGCTGGGTGCTCAGGACAGCCTCAGGGGGACAGGCATTGAAGGGCAAGCTGCAGAGGCTCTGCTCCCGCACTGCTAGCCTGGCTGGCCCCACACCCCATCCCGGGGAGCTCCAGGGGGCCTCCAAGCTCCAAGGGGCAGAGACCCCAGACCCTGCTGCTGGTGGAGAGTGAGCAACTCAGAGTACCCAGGACGGTACCTTGCATGCAGCTGTCTACAGGTACCTGTGTGGGGACCCCAGGACAAGCTCTGGCCACTCCCTTATGGTGGCTGCTTTTGGGGGAGGAGAGAGGCTTGGGGGAGACCAAGGAGGGTCTGCTTTTGGGTACTGCTGGCAGAAGAACATACTCTGCAGTATGTGAGCAATGAAGCAAGAAGAAAGTCCAAGTTGGGGAGGGAGTGGCAGTGGGAAGGTGCATCCAGCTGTCTGAGCTGGCAGGGTCCACCCTGAGAGGTGACAGTCCTGCTACTGCTTACACCTCACTGCGCTCCCCGCAGAGCACAAGATTATCGAAAGGTTTTAAGAAACAGCGATGGGGGCCGGCCCGGTGGCGCACTGCGCTAGTGCGCCGCTTGGGAAGCGCGGTGGCGCTCCCGCCGAGGGTTCGGATCCCACATACAGACCGGTTCCCGCTCACTGGCTGAGCGAGGCGCGGGGGCAACACCGAGGGTTGCGATCCCGTTGCCAGTCCCGGTCCGGTACGGGG